TTTTGCAGTACGGTTTGGTCACAGGCAATTAAATTGTGATGCTAAATGGCAGTGTGCAACTAGTAAATGAAAACAGTGTTGTGTTTATTCTGCTGTCAGTTTTAAAAATACAGCTTAATAACCATGTTCACTAATTAATCTAAAAGTAATTAATGTACTATTGACTCATATATTTCTAATTTGTTTTCTCTTAAAGAGAAAATGCATGTCTAGAAATATAGTTAAGATCTCTTTAAATCTTTTAGCTTCTCTTTAACTAATTACTGATACCACTAATTTATGCATTTATATGGAAAGTAGTTTTCTGTTCTTTTCACATAAATTATATGCTAAATGCACTGTTTTTTTTTTGTTTTTCTTTCTTTTTTATTATTAAGAAATTTTCTATTCATTTTACATACCAACCACAGATTCCTCTCTCCTTCCTCCTCCTGCCCCCCCCCAGCCTACCCCTTCCAATCCACCTCCCATTTCCACCTCCTCCAAGGCAAGGCCTCCCATGAGAAGTCAGCAGAACCTGGTACATTCATTTGAGACAAGTCCAAGCCCCTCCCCCTGCACCAAGGCTGTATAAGGTGTCCCACCATAGGCACTGGGCTCCAAAAAGCCCACTTATGCACCAGGGACAGATCCTGATCCCACTGCTAAGGGGCCCCTTAAGCAGGTCAAGGTACATAACTGTTTTACCTATGCAGAGGACCTAGTCCAGTCCCCTGGAGGGTCCACACCTATTAGTCCACAGTTCATGAGTTCCCACTAGTTTGATTTGGTTGTCTCTGTAGATTTCCCCATCATGATTTTGATGCCCCTTGCTCATAGAATCCCTCTTCTCTCAGTTGGACTCCTGGAGCGTGGCCTGGTGCTTGGCTCTGGATCTCTGCATCTGCTTCCATCAGTTACTGGATGAAGGCTCCTATGATGACAGTTAGGGTAGTCACCAATCTGATTTCCAGAGTAGGCTGGTTAAGGCACCCTCTCCATTATTGCTAGTAGTTTAAGGTGGGGTCATCCTTATGTTTTCCTGGGAACTTACCTAGCACCCTGTTTCTCCCTGTCCCCATGATGTCTCCCTCTATCATGGTATCTCTTTCCTTGCTCTTCCACTCCATCCCTGTTCCAACTCAACCAACCTGTTCCCTTATGTTCTTACCCCCCATCCCCTTCCTTCCATCCCCCCCTACCTCCAGTTTATTCATAGATATCTCATCTATTTCCCCTTCCCAGGGTGATCCATGTGTCCCTCTTAGGGTTCTCCTTGTTAGCTAGCTTCTCTTGAGCTGTGGGTTATAGTCTGGTTATCCTTTGCTTTAAATCTAGTATCCACTTATGAGTGAGTACATACTATGTTTGTCCTTCTGAGTCTGGATTACCTCACTCAGGATGATATTTTCTAGTTCCATCCATTTGCCTGCAAATTTCATGATGTCATTGTTTTTCACTGCTAAGTAGTACTCCATTATGTATATGTGCCACATTTTCTTTATCCATTCTTTGGTTGAGGGGTATTCTAGGTTGTTTCCAGGTTTTGGCTATTACGAATAATGCTGCTGTGAACATAGTTGAGCAAGTGTCCTTGTGGTATGATTGAGCATCTTTTGGGTATATGCCCAAGAGTAGTATGTCTGGGTCTTGAGGGAAGATTGATTACCAATTTTCTGAGAAACCGCAATACTGATTTCTAGAGTGGCTGTACAAGTTTACACTCCCACCAACAGTGTAGGAGTGTTCCCCTTGTTCTACATCCTCTCCAACATAAGCTGTCTTTGGTGTTTTTGATCTTAGCCATTCTGACAGGTGTAAGGTGGTATCTCAGAGTCGTTTTGATTTGCATTTCTCTGATGATTAAGGATGTTGAGCATTTCTTTAAATGTCTTTCAGCCATTTGTAGTTCTTGTTTTGTGAATTCTCTGTTTAGCTCTTAAGCCCATTTTTTAATTGGATTGTTTGTTATTTTGATGTCTAGTTTCTTGAATTCTTTATATATTTTGGAGATCAGCCCTTTGCCAGATTTGGGGTTGGTGAAGATCTTTTCCCATTCTGTAGGCTGTCATTTGGTCTTATTGACAAATGCACTGTTTTTAATTATAAATATTTGAAATACCTACTAATGTTGTAAATGCACATGGACCACTGTCTAGCACTTTGGCTTGTAGGCATAAGTTAAAGAAGGTCCTTATAACTTGAACATGAAATGACACACAGTAAGGTGCTTATGTCATCATTGTACTAAGAAGGGTAATTAGACATGGATACTAACAGGTGAATGGAAAGTAAACTATAATATATTAAGAGAGAATGAAGTGTTCCTTCTTCAGGTATATCATCATGAGAGCATAGTGAACACATAGTTCTTATCTACTGGATTAGTCATTAGTATTTTAGATGTGTACATACATGAAAGAGCAATACCAGTAGATGGATCCACCATTTGACAACTTATAAATTATCCCTAGGATCAAGAAAATGCTCTGTCTCCATTTCTCATCTTCCCAAGCTGTCCTCCTTACTGACTGTTCTTACTACAGTTTTCTTTTTCAGTTCAGACAGTACTAGGAGTGACATTTTCCCCCATCCTAGACAGAGGAAATGCTCTTGCTGTCTGAGAGGTATAGTATCCTGTAGCACTTTTTAAGAACTAAGTACAAGTGATTAAATTGAGAAGAAAGACAAGGTTTTGGTGAAAACTAAACATAAAATTAGGCTGAATGGGTAAACTAGTCTAGATACTTGAAATAACAACTTTTATGTAGCAGGAACTTCCTTTCCCTCCTTTACTCTTCTGATTTAAGTGTTCTAACTTATAACTCACCACTAAGTTGCTTCCAGATTTTCAATTTTTTATTTAGCAGATATTTTCAGAACACTTGGGCCAGGCACTCTGAGTAAAATAGATATGCTGGCTGTGTAACTGTAGCAACTAGAAGGTGACCTACTAAATAGTGAATAATGCATATAAACAATGCTGTAATGGAAACCTAGAATGATGACAATCCACCAAGTCCAAATTATGTCTCGGGTGACTGGCTAATTCCTAAGATTTGAGAAGCATCAGTATGACTATGAGGGGAGAAGAGTAGCAGTCCTCTGGGCAAAAGAAGACAACTGAAGTATGGAACCTTAGAAATGCGGAAACAGCATAGAGCTTCCCAGATGGAGTTCCCTGCTCCCCAGCCCTTTGTGCTCCACTCTCCACACACCATCGATACCTTATAAAGATGAAATCTTGTCAATCTGCTGGAATCCTCCAGTGACTTCCTGTCTCCTTCAGAATAATACTCAGCATTGAAACCATGGCCATGTGGCCATGAATGGCTTCTGCTACATTTCTGATCTTACCTCAGTTTTAGCCTACTTATGCTACCCAAGCCATACTTAGCTTCTGGTATTCTTCTATAACTTCAAGCAATTTTATATGGCAGTCCTTCTCTACAAACCATCCCATCTAGATCCTTATCCAGTACATCTGCTTGCTTGTTCTCAATCTCATCTTATTCAAGATCCTATTAAATAACAGTCCTACACCAGTAACATAAAGCTGCCTCTTATGCTGGGTGTGGTTGTCAATACCTATAACCCTAGCACTCAGAAGGCTAAGGCAGGAGATCACAAGTTAGAGGTCAGCCTGGGCTAGTCAGTAAGTTCTAGGCTAGCCTTTTCTAGATAGTAAGTCTACCTTTAAAAAATAAATAAAAGGCCGGGTGGTGGTGGCGCACGCCTTTAATCCCAGCACTCTGGAGGCAGAGGCAGGCGGATCTCTGTGAGTTCGAGGCCAGCCTGGACTACCAAGTGAGTTCCAGGAAAGGCGCAAAGCTACACAGAGAAACCCTGTCTCGGAAAACCAAAAATAAATAAATAAATAAATAAAAGGTGTACATGAATATGTGGGCACATGTGCTTGATCCCCTCAGCTCAACCTCTATTACTTTATCAGCTTGTTCTGCAGTGGCTTCCTAGGCAGGACTGTTGTCATTGTGGTAGCATTGTGAAGATTGGATTGTCTTACTTGATACTAAGCACCATGAGAAGGCACTTTGCATGATTTTCTTTCTTTGTGTGTGTGTGTGTGTGTGTGTGCACTGCCATTCAATCATATTGCTTTATACATTATAAGTACGCAGTGCATGATTATTTATTTCTACTGAGGAGGTTATGAATATGATGTTTTGTTCATTCTTCTTTGTGTTTCCTGAGACAATTATATACTTGGATCGATTTAGTTACTGTAAAAGTCAGTCAATTTTCTATAACTTTGTTGGGTTTTGAGTATGCTTTTAAGCTGGTATTTTTTCTTCCATGATTCCTTTCCAGAGGCTTAACTTTCAGTTTTTGAGCAGATAGAAAGATGTATCTTCTTGGCATTGTTTGTTGTTGGATTTTAAGTTAATCGTGTATTTATTGTGCTGACCTTGTCCCCTTAACAATTTCTGAATCAGTTAAGTTATTTGTGAAAATTCAGTGTTGTATCTGTGATAACTACATTTTAATAAAAAATACTGGAAAGTTTGTTTTATAGCCATTGTCTTTCCTAGTTCTATATTATTATATATAGCTTCTTTATCTAGTCTTAGATATAGTATAGGCACAGATTCAGTTCTTGTACATTTCAGCAGTTTAAAGTAGTAGATAAGTAATTATTCACTTCTCACTAATAACTCATCTTTGCATTGCTTTGGATTTCCCAAAGTGCCAGCCTTGAGGGAAAACAGTCATGAGACTGATGAGCTGTCATGTTGACTTCACACTGCAGAATGGTGGGGAAGTGACCAAAATGTGATTTAAAACAAATCCCGTGTTTGTTCTTTTCTCTATACTACCTGGCAGTACCAGCTCTCCTCTCCCTCTTCCTTATGTAGTGCCTTCCCAGTCATGGCCTGTTCCTAAAACAGAATCAAATAAGTGTTTAATTGATATCATTAGTATATCAGCAAAATAGGGTAGGAAAATGTAAGGGCTGCTGTTCTATTGCAAATATAAAATTTTTTCTCTTGCAATAATTATAGGGGATGGAGTGTTAGATCTCTCTACAAAGAAAACCAGCATAAAATCTGAAGAATCGTCCATATGTGATCCTTCTTCTGAAAATGCAGTTGCTGGGTAAGCAATATCTAGGAAATATAATTCAATATTAATATAAATGACCTCTTGCAGAGAACACTTAATACTGTGCTGAGTAGGACTGACATAGTTTTCCTTCAGAATTTTTGTCACTCATAAGTTTGTCTCTCATAATTTCATTTGTCCTTTCTCTTTCTTTTTTCTTTCTGTTAAAGAAAAGTTATCAGAACAATCACCAAACTTCAATTCATGTTACTAAAATGAACTATCAATTTAATCATGGGATACAAACTAAGAAGCAGGACAAGTGAGAGAACTTGAAATACTCAAGAGGCAATTTTAAGGGAAATATGTAATTTTAATATTTAGTTTTTTAAAATAATGAACCATTTCTAAAAGTGCTGTAGTTACTAATTCTAAAACTAGCATATATGTTTACAGTTTTTGCTTTAGTGTGGTGGCAAACAACTTAATATTTATTTAGTAATCACCACAAAAAGTCCTTTCAGTCTTTAAAACTATCACTAAATTAATTTAAATAAATAATTACTAGTGAAATGCTGTTCTGTTGGATTTTGGGGGTTACTTTTGCATCTTCTCATGAACTGCATAGAAATCTTTTTTGTCCCATTGAAATCTGAGATAAATTTATTTCAACTAAGGCTGTAATGGAGCTGGAGTCATAGGTGTAACAGACTTTAGAAGATTAGAGAGTTGCATTTGAAATGGAGTAACATTCTAAAATGAAATTATTCATATACATCTTTTTTCAGATTTTAAGTTTTTATGTAGAGGAAAATGAGTCTGTGGAACTGAGATGTCTGTGTTTGGAAGTATTCTTGCTGCTACAAATTTCCTTTAAATGGGTTGACTCTTTTATTACTTGTTTAGTGGTAACGTCACGTTTCTACTAACAAAAACTCCCTTAGGATTTGGGTATTTTTATAATGGAACTCGAATTGTAAATAAAAATTATGTGTTGCTCTGCAAGCAGCTTTCAGAGGAAAAGCAACATCATGAGAATATTTTTACAATACTCAGTTAGGATTTTATGTTCTTGGAAGGTCTGCCCATTGAGGCCACCGTATGTATCATTGACACATTGTCCTACCAGGACTGTAGCGTTTGCTTTGATAAGGAGTAACTACTACATCCCACAGACCTAACGTGTCATAAGCAGTGATGTTACCTAAGCAAGGAGTATAATAAAGGAGTGGACCCTCCCCTTCCATAGCTGTGTGAGAGTCTCTCATACATCAGTTTACCATCGTTTCATTCCATCCATCCAGGAGACTACACAGAAACAGAGAGGACTATGTGGAAAGAAGTGCTGAGTTTGCAGATGGTTTGCTCTCAAAAGCTTTGAAAGACATTCAGTCTGGAGCACTGGACATAAATAAAGCAGGCATACTTTATGGCATACCTCAAAAAACTTTACTTCTCCACTTAGAAGCCTTACCAGCAGGGAAGCCTGCATCTTTTAAAAACAAAACTCGAGATTTCAATGATAGTTACTCATATAAAGACAGTAAAGACACTTGTGCTGTGCTGCAAAAAGTAGCCTTGTGGGCAAGAGCTCAAGCAGAGCGCACAGAAAAAAGTAAACTCAACTTACTTGAAACCTCAGAATTAAAATTCCCAACAGCTTCCAGTTACCTCCATCAGTTAACTCTACAGAAAATGGTTACTCAGTTTAAAGAAAAAAATGAAAGCCTTCAATATGAAACTTCAAATCCTCCTGTACAGTTAAAAATTCCTCAGCTACGAGTAAATTCAGTCTCAAAATCACAACCTGATGGTTCTGGTCTGCTGGATGTCATGTATCAAGTTTCCAAAACCTCTTCAGTCCTTGAAGGATCAGCTCTCCAAAAACTGAAAAATATACTCCCTAAACAGAACAAAGTAGAATGTTCTGGGCCTGTAACTCACTCAAGTGTTGACTCTTACTTTCTACATGGGGACCTCTCTCCTTTGTGTCTTAATTCTAAAAATGGAACAATTGATGGAACCTCCGAGAACACTGAAGATGGATTGGACCGGAAAGATAATAAGCAGCCCAGGAAAAAACGTGGCCGCTATCGGCAGTATGATCATGAAATAATGGAAGAGGCCATTGCAATGGTAATGAGTGGAAAAATGAGTGTTTCCAAAGCACAAGGAATTTATGGGGTACCTCACAGCACTTTAGAATACAAGGTAAAGGAAAGATCTGGAACACTGAAGACTCCTCCGAAGAAGAAACTACGATTACCAGACACTGGGTTATATATGACAGATTCAGGGACTGGCAGCTGCAGAAACAGCAGCAAGCCTGTGTAGATTACTGTTAGAGAATGTGTGTGTGTGTGTGTGTGTGTGTGTGTATGTGCGTGCGTGCGTGCGTGCGTGTGTGTGTGTGTGTGTGTGTGTGTGTAGCTACATACACACATGGAAATTACAAATGCTCACTCTGACAGGAGACATGAAATTTTACAGTTCAAAAACCACTTACATGCCTTTTGAAAAAGTTTTATTCAGGGTTTTCACTGTGGACAGAATTATAGAGTTGCTTATTAATTCTGATAGTTTGTATTTAATCCTTGTATAAATAGGTGAAAAAAGATTCAGGTTTTCTTTAGTAGTCAATAGCATAAAATGTGGGAAAACGAGTAATTGTCAAGTGAAACATTTTTTATTGGTAAAAGAAAATTCTAGCCATTCAGTTTAACCATCTTTTAATGGAAATATATTAATAGTTTGTGAACACTTTTGTGTAACATACCTAAAAGTACTGTGAGTATGTCAAAGAACCAATCAAAATTAAATAGTTATCTCTGTACCAAGAGTAACTAAATACAGTATTACTACACTACAGTGCATTCTATGAAATACAAAATGCACTAGAGTGCATCCACCAGGATAAAGAAAACCTTAAAGGATATGTATAGTAAAATTTAATATTTATCATTTAATTGTTGATTTAGCAGGAAGTTGGGGTTATAAGTATATAATTTAAATTAAAAAACTGACATAGTTAACCCCAGCAGCTATAGAATCCTTTAATATAAGATGGAATACTAAAAACAAAAAGTAATTTAAATTTAATTATTAAAGTAATTTAATTTTGTTTTTCATTTGAAAAATAAGCTAATGTGTAAGGTTAGAAAAGAAAGTTGGAATGCAACTTAGAGCATGTTTATAATGTGCACAGAACAAGCTTGAGAATGGTCATTTTGGTTAAATGTGCTGGTTAGTTGATGTTATGACTACTTTAAGGATTGTGACACACTCCTCCTATTGAAAAACCTCAGTGTAACTTTAATATATTTGCTGCTGTGACATTTCAAAACATTTCAGTTTATCAAAATGAATTACAGATTTCATTTTGGTGGGTGATACATTATCATTTTGCTAATAACCAAATTTGCAGTTTGTTCAGGGTCTTGAATAGATTTACAGATATTTAACACTGAAGCTGTTTTGAACTTTCAGTAATGTAAACTCTTTACTAATTGGATAGGTAGAAGCTGGGCAGTGCATTTTAACTTTTACTACTCAAATGAGACCAGTAATTTTTATAAAACAGTTTTAAAAATATGGGTCAGAGTATTCATATGGGTTTATGGCATATGCAGTTTTGGTAGTAAAATGTAATAAAGCATGTACCTCCATTTAAAGAATGGAGATTTGCTTTATAGATGAGAATCCTCCGCAGTGCCCCTTTTCTCTGTTAGAATTCAGGTTCTGGTCATTTTCCTAAGCCACTTTTTCTAAATCCAAAAGGAATTCTTACAGCTGAATTTTAAAAAAATGAGTGCACCTTGTCAAATACTTGTGTTTTACACTTGTGTTTGTGTGTGTTTAATAATCACATGAACATGTGGTTGTTCAGCTACTAAACTTTAAAACTGCTTACATGTATTTAAAGAAACTGAAAATAAGAAACTATATAACCAGGTAATCTCTTGGTCTCTGAGATCTGTATTAAACATGTTCAGCTGTCAATGTTACCTGCATACTAGGGTATGAATCCTCTTTATCTTTTTCTTCCCCCAAGAAAATATACATAATAGATTACAAGACAGCATTTGTCAGGGTCATCTTTCTTTTTAAAGAATTAAGCCATATTTTGTGAGGACCGGAACATGGATTATTTATTATATTTCCCCCTCTTCCCATTGAAAAACAAAGTTAAAAGTAAATGCTTCAAAAACAATTTTCTTGACCTCTTTATATAGAATTTTACTTGCAAAACTTTGGAAGCTCGAATGCATTACATAATATTTATATTGTATTGAGCTTTTTTATTCCTCACACTATATTTACATTGATAAATTGATTGAGAAGTTTATAGTAAAGGGAAACTTACAGAACACTTTTATATCATTTAAAAGATGACCTGACCAAAAACTTTACAGGATTCATATATCAGGGATCATTTTGCTATTGACTTCACAGTGATCAGTAGTTTTATAGGTAATATTATAGTTAATTTGCAGCATTTTAGTACTTGTATTATTTATTTTTGGTCAAATAGTAAATTAAAATATTTTTTGATAGTTTATAGGTAATGATCAACCCATAACTTTTAAAAGAAACAATGTTTGTATTGCTGAGTTGACTTTTTGATTATACAAACTAGGAAAGGCAGGGAAGTTTATGGGTTCCCCTCTCCCCACTGGTTCTATTAAGATGTCCTTTATGTTAAACTTTCAAAGTACTTTATAAATTTAGTTATCAGTTACTACTTATTTGACAGATTTTGAAAAGTTCAGTTTCAGCTGACTTTTAATGAATATGAAAGCAACCCTTATGTGCTTTCTACTTATTTGAATGTTCCTCGAGTATTTTATATTTAAAATAAAAAAGAAGGAAAAGGAAAAAACAGTGCCTCTGTTTTTAGAAAACTACTGCTCAGTAAAGTTGTTTAAACCATTTCTGGTAGCTGATGACAATTTTATATTAAACTGTATACTGACTTTAGTGAGACTGATTTTTTTTTTTTAGTTGTTTACAGTGCAGATACTTGTGTTTGTTTTTTAATTGCAGTATTTCCATTG